TATTTAAGCGAAACAAAGCTGTGGAGACTAGGAATATCTTTTTATAGACCCAGAGAAGTGACTGGAAAAAAACAGACAAGCCTTCAAGCACACAAACTCTCCTTTGGGTCTCTTCCCTACAAGCCAGAGCTCTGTTCTGAAAGTATCTCAGACACAGCATATAAAGTACAATAGATGTCATTTGGAAATGAATGTTCCTACATTTCCCCACAGACAGAACCATCACTGTTATCAGAAATAGTGTGCTATTTCTCTCCACAATAGCTGAGTGGGAAATTAATATAATATATTAGCTCTGATATCTGGTTTATGTTGAATTCTGATGGCTGAAAGATCTTGTCGCTTCTAAATACAAGCCACTTTTAGAAAAGATATTTCATTCAAACTTCTTCCCTTTCCCCAGCCCCCAATTTGCACCCATTAGAGAGGATGTCTGGCTTCTCTTTCCATTGCAAGGTGTGCACATGAGGACGGCAAAGAGTAGATATAAATATCTTCTTAGTAGCAGTCACTATTTTTCAAAGCTGTCTCCTTAAGGCACTCATTAAAACAGTGGCTTGTAAAGTGGTGGAGCAAAGGAGTAGAAGTTATGCTACTATAAAAAAAAAACACAAACTTTTTTCAAGTTGAAGTGTGGTCTTGCATGGTATGAATTAACCAGGGTAAGCAGAAATGACCAAGTTCAAGAAAAGTTCTGGAAATTCCTTTTCTTTTAAAAAGTGTTAAAAACAGTAGCGATTGTACCCTCTACATCCAGCAGTTGTGGTTAGATAAAGTATTTGGCATCAAACTCCCTCCTGCAATATTACAAACCTGGTAAGGACTCACAATACGCCAGCATTTACCCTGAGTCTCAGGCTGGTCAGGACGGTCCTTTCTGTAAACCCAGCATTTCTGTCTTTGGCCCAGAGCAAAGTGAAGTTTAACCATCTGCTCTGTTTGCTGAAGGCTCTCAAGGTGTATGCTAGTAGATGTTGGTTAAATCATGGTAATGTGACTATTTTAAAAGCTCACACATAAAGGCCATCTGTGACCGTCTACCAGCTGCAAACCTGCTGCACACTGCAGCCATTCAAATGTTTACATCAAAATTGAGACCATCATGGCAATCCATGCTCCAAAATAAGAATTTTTCATTGCTTTAGCTGCAAATATCATTATCACTAACCATTTCTGACTGCCATATATGTTTTTAAGCTAACATGCATTTTACCTCAAATATATTCAACTTATCTCAAATTTATTGCATGTAATGAAAATAATTTGATGTTTTGATTTTAAAAAACACAGGCTAATACTTCACTAGGAACAATTTTAATAAGATGCTGACTCATGCATAACTGTGGAACGTGTACTACAGGGAAGAATGAAAATGGACAAGTGAAAAGAGGGGTTAATAACTGGGTATATTTATGTAGGGTAGAAAAGTAGTCAAGTTTAAATATTACATATAAAACATACACATACTTAGCAAGTCTGTTCGTAGACATATTTCAGCTTGTTTTAAATACTCATGATCATCCACCCTTTTTAGCACTTTGCAGAAATAAACTCCACACTATCGAAAACTTTAACGGCAGCTTGTTCCAAATTTGGAGGGTCATTTCACCCCTGCTAACAGTCCAGGGAAAGTATTCTATGAATGTCTACTTTTGCTTCCAACTGCTTCACACTATACTTCGGTATCTTCAAGATCATTCCTTTCTCCATCACATTTAGCATCCCTTTATCTCTTTCTTCCCTCTAACTTGGATGCTAAAATCCAGTATATATAAAAGCTCTCAAAGCTCCGTAAGAGTAGACAAGTGTCTACATTTTACAGACAGGTGGTTTTGTCCCAACTGGCAATTCAGGCAAAGGATTTAAAAAGAATCTGGAAGTTCCAATTCCAATGCAACATTTAAATTCAGCTGTAGTGATATATGTCTTATAGCTCTCGTTAGAACGGAAATATTCTTTTCATAAAGGATCTGCTGCATATAAGGCAGGGTAACTTTGCTTAATAGGAAGTCAAAACGGAGGGGGGGGAAAAAAGCTGAAAACTTACGTTACAGGATGCAACAACTGAAATATGCACACCCCCCTCAGGCCCTGAAGCAGAGTGGCTGCCAAACCTTAGCATAAGAAACTCCACCCTCTTCTGCAGGACTAGTTTGGAAATTCCTGACAATTACAGGGACTAGTAACTCAGATTAAACTGGCAGGAATAAAAGAAATAATTGACAAATTGTCCATATATCTTGGTCACTGAATGTCACTAACTCAGGCTGACATTTACAGTCCCTTCTAAATAGTGCCCTGAGCACTGAGCAGCTTGCTTGGCTGTCTTTAGGAAAGTTACCAAACAGCTCGGGGATTTCAGAAGTTCCCACAATTTAATGCTAATGAGGCAACAAATGCTTTATAATCCCAAGTATTTCATTAAAAAGTGATTTTGGAAACCTGCAAAAGTGACTTTTTACCCCTTCTGTTTCCCCTTATTCCCCCTCACCTTTAGGAAAAAGCAGAGTTAATTCCTGCTCCCTCGCTGAGACGCTTCCATATTTATCTACAACAGGAAGGGTGGCACTTCCTGCGCACCCTGGGATTCAAGCAAGGGTTGGATGCAAATGACCACAAACCCTCATGCAGGGCATTTTACTCTATACCAGCATTTGTGTGGTTTTTAAGCTATCATGCAATCTAGCCCAGAGTTACTTACCATTTTATTATTCTACCTAGGCAGAAATACTTTGCAACAGCACTGAACCCAATTCTTCTAGTAAAATGAGAGAGGTTTTGAAAAGAAAACATACAATTATTATTACCCCTAAAGGTTTCAACTTTACTGTGAGGGAGCCAATATTAGTGCCTACAGAGAGGTTCAACCTAGCCAAGTGCTGTGTGTGCTGGCCCCAGCTGACCACAGCACCTCAACACATGTTGACTCCAAGTCTGCGAATAGTCCAGGGAACTAGTCCTGTGTACTTGAAGTTAGTCACACGTCAGACTTTTAGTGTAATAAGGTGGTGAAATCTGAATGAAAGCCAAAGAGCTCCAATACACTGCAGGATCAAATGACAGAACAGTTTTAGAGCCAAAGAGAATCATGTCACGTTTAAATTACCCTATAACCTAATGCTCCCTGTCCCCCTGAGCAACAAAGGTGCAAGTTAGGCTTGCCAGGAGATGCTGCAATTTTAGTGAAATCAATGGACTCGTCAACTGTGCGCAAGGCTGAATGTGGCCAGTGATATTTAAGCATTCCTCTGACTCTCTTCTTCTTTTTTTATTATTATAATTTGTATTGCACAGAACCTGGTTCCCCAGTGATGGACCACAGCCTGGCAACGCTAAGTGCTGTACAAATGAAAGCTCCCTGCCCTCAAAGCTCACAGCCTGATTCTGGAACTGGAGACAACAGGCAGAAACACACACATAGGGCAGGCCAAGTAGACAGTCTCTGGGTTGGTATGAACAGCAGCAGGCTCTGTGGCCTAGCCCCTGTCAACCATGTTGCGAGCATCACAGCAAGGGATGCTTCAAAGCAGCCTTGCCGCTGTTTGCAGTGAAGGTGAGGACAGTCTGGGAGAAAGCACAGAAGTGCTTGTTTGGGGTGGGGAGGGAGGGTTGGTTGCAAATTGAGAAGGACAAAGGTAGAAGACATCTTCTCAGCAACCAGGGGAAGAAGAAAAACAGGGTTGGGTAAACCATGAGTGGCCTGGAAAGCAAAGAGGAACTGCCTGAATTTGATGTGGTGGAGAAAGGAAAGCGAGGTGGAGCACTGGGGAGAAAGGCTAATAAGGTATGATAGCAGGTAACCCTGCAACAACATCCTGAATGAGCAGAGCAGATCCAGGAGAGGAAGAGATTGAGGGATGGCTTCTATGAAGCCAAAGAGATTAAAAGAAGAGTACTGCCAGGGGAAAAAATTAAGGACGCCAGGGAGAGAAACACAGGAGGGTTCAGGAGAAGAGCTACTGAGGCAAATACAGACCTTAGAGAAGAGCAGGCTAAAATTAAGAAGGCAGCTACACCTGTACCTGGGAAAGGAGGAAGGCAGGCGAGACAAGATAGGAGGATGTTCACTTTGTTTTTGATCACTCCTTCTCTCTTGGCACAATGTGATCCTGAATGGAGAGAGAGACATAGAAGCAGACAAGGGGAGGGTTTGAGGAATGTCTCTGAAGGCAGCAAGATGCAGGTGGATATAGGCAGAGTGCTCAACTGAGGGTGATGGTGAGTGCTAGTAGGCAGGAAGATGGCAGAATTGAAGGAGGAGAGAAAAATCTGCAGTGGAGGAAGTGTGCTTGGTCATGAGATTTCCTCCAGAGGCTCTCTATGGAGGAAGAGTAGGAGTAAAGGAAGCAGAGGCTGGGAGTGGGAAATGGAGCCTTTGAGAGGAAAGGAGTAGGCGGGAGGAAAGAGGACGGACACTATGACGCAGAAGGGCAGAGAGGTGAGAGCCATGTGTGAGTGGCAGGGACAAGGCTACAAAAGAAACTGCTGTGAAAGCTGCCCAGCTAAGCAGCTCAAATGCATTATCCCCTCTTGGGAGGAAAGGGAGAGAAAACAACCAAGGTCATGCTCAGCTTATTACAAATGCTGGGCACATGCGGTGATCTGCACTGTGCACCACGATACCCTGGTGTAAGTGGAACACCTGGCAAGGGGACAAGCGGCATTCATTTGATATTAGTTAAAAGTCCATCCAGATCTGAATTTCTGCCAAGTTCAAGAGGTTGCCAGGGCTGGGATTTCAGTTCCAGCCCATTTTTATCAGTTGAAACAAAAAGAAAATGAAACATGGCTGCTTAGACGAAAGCACTTCCAAGGAAATACAGACCTGGGGCTTATCTCTGCACAGTTCAGTGGTTTAGCTAACCAACACAAAGCTAAGCTGATATAAACAGCTTTGAAGCAAGCAGATTTCCTTATAATTTGCACAAGACAAACTCATTCCCACAGTCACTTTTACTGGAACCCAAGCTACCCTAATTTCTCTCTCCCAGCATCTTTACCTCCTCCTCCAGTTTCACCACCTTGGCCTGAGCATTGTTCAAGGCCTGGTCTCGGATCTCGATGTGTCTTCGTTGGTCCTCATTGGTGGAGCGTGCAGCAGCCAGTTCTATTTCCAGTTTCTCTTTTTCCCGCTGTGTTTCCTTGTCTATCAAAATAAAGTGAGAGTTATCAATGGACAGCACTTGCCTCTACCCAGCTTTCAGGAGTCTTTCACTCCAGAGGTGAAGGAAAGATTGTACTGGAGCTTCTCACAAGAGAGAGAATGCAAATCTAGTGCTAAGGGGGGGGAGGGAGGGGAGTGCATGGCTTTCAAAGAAGAGAAGGACTTGTAACCCTGAAAAACAAGCATGGTACCTTCAAGTAACAATTGTGCCACAGTGCTAGTGAGAAGGAATAGAAGGTGCATCACTCAGTACAGTTAGGTAATTTGCTCTGATTATGCCGATGGTTAGTGAAACTTGGCACCTCTTTACCTCTGAGCTTTCAGTGATGGAAAACAAACTGGGTAATTTTAATATCCCAGGCGGGGAGACGAGATGGTAGACTTCTGTGCCTGAAAAACTTGTGCTCCTTTTTTTCACACTGACCCCAAGAACAGGAAGGCTGTTCTGCCTGGGGCAGCTGTCCTCCTTCTCAAAGTAACACCCAGTTGTCCCACTTTGCTGGCGGTACCATCAGAGGAGTCAGAAAACAAGTAAGAAATGAGAACTCCTCAGTCTTCCTCTATTGCCCTTAAAAACGACCCCCTGGGCCAGAACTGAGGCACATATATCTGTTCTGTCACTGCTCAAAGCAGACCTGCAGTTCAAGAAAGCTTTTTGCCCAGCACTGAAGGCTAGAAGGAAGGATAAAACCTTCCTTCAGTTCATGTCTGGTACTTTAAAGCCACCCCAAGCACAGCAGCTAGTCTTTTTCTGCTGCTCTCCAGAAAGAGCTGGACCTAGTGGGAGCAGCCATGCTGTGTGTTTCAGGAAGAGGGAATTGCCTTCATAAAAAAATAAATAGGATAAAATAATTGGGGACTGGAGAAATTATCACACAGGGGTGTAAAGCGAAGCCACAACACAGAGCTGATGTCCTCTGTATATGCTGTCATTCCCAGCTCAAGCCAACCAGCTACAATGATAACATTAGCACACTTGCTGGATACATAACCACAGAACACTCCCTGGAGTGATCTACACCCAGCACTGATGACACCAGAGAAACTGCATTCCAGAAACCAATATCCCACGACAAAGGAATGAGGACAAGGAGTGGAAGGCTTGAAAAACAGGAACTAGATCCTGGGTGTTAGGACAGACTGCATATGGAGTACACAGGCCCGTTTGTGCAAGCATGTGCATAACTATATTTACAGGGCCACAATTATTCCCTTTCTGCCAGCAGAGAGCCAGGAGCAAAGCTTTAGCAACACAGAGTAGCTAAAGATTCCCTTCTGCTAGGGAATCAACACAGCCCACACACAGGTTGCAAAACAAACCTGTCCACCAACAGCACCCAGAACTCTGCAGAGCAAACCCTGACTGCAACTCAGAACTAGCCTGTGACACAAGACACAAGGACAAAGGCTAATGTCACCACCTGCCTATTCTTTTCCCCATCTCTCCCATCCCAGTATTTTTCCTCCACCCAGGAAACGAGTTGCTGACAGTGTCAGCATGCTAAACTGTATTGCAGAAAATGGGCAGAGATGAGACAGGGTGGCATTATGCCAGCAGGTATCAATCAGTGCCAGCAATCTGTTAATCTGTAAGTGCTTGCAGCGAGGCTTTTGGAGGTTTTGTTCCAGACTTTTCCCCAAATAAGTACTGCTTCACTTGCAAGAGCCTACAGCACCCCTAGAAATGCTGGGACCGACAAAATACTAGCACTATGGTCTCCACGTTCATCCAAAAGGAGAAACTGAATGTGAGGCCTCACAGCTTTGACCTTCCCACCTCTCTTGGTGAACCTATGAACCTCAAAGTCCACCCAACCAGTTTGAATGAGACTAAACGCACAGACTTTCCACTACCACCAGGAGTTTTGAATTCACACCCCAACAGCCATCTGCTTGCAACATAAGCCACAAGGAATAAGCTAAAGACAACATGAGAGGGACACCAGCATTTGTCAGAGTAGAAGCAGTGCACATTACACCACAGAAAATCTCTGTTTTGCAATTTTATTGCACTACCTTTTTATATAACAATTGGAGAAAAGTGAGCATTGTCTGCAGGGTGGAGTACACCATGGGATGACAGAAAAGTTGGCTCGACGCCATCGGCCTCAAGACATTTCAGTACAAAGGAAAAGCAGCATTTCACATCCGTCATTTTGGTTTGCCTTGTGATAAATCCACTGCTGTGGACAGAATTCGCGACTCTTACCCAGCCCAGCATACTGCAGGCAGTGTTCATCCCCTTTATTTTTGCTGAACTGGATAGGGTAGTGGCAAATTAAAGAGGAAAGAGATAGGAGACCTACCAGGTTCCAGTCCCACTGGCCCTAACTCATGCCAGGAGCCTTGTCAGCCTGGAAAGGTTTGATTCCAAAGCTTTCAGGGGACAAAATAGGTGGACAAAATATCTGGTACATTATGGGGTAAACATTAACTTTGCAGTTGAACTGCAAACTATATCTGCTCCAATATCTCTACTAAATGCCATCAGATGGACTTTACATACTGACAGAAAAGGAATTCTTGAATCCGTCCTCCTTTCTCCACTGCCAGTTTTGGACTGTCACTGCCCTGATTTCTGTCCCGGTAGAAAAGCAACAGATCTGAACTATGCTAACCTGATGCATTGTTATCCTTCCCAGGATGACTGGAGCATTTCTACTGACCCATAATGACTGTGTAACTCACTTTGTGCAAAGAGTTGAGAGATGGTTTTCCGATTGTCTTCAGACCCCTCAAATTCCTTCTCCGCAAGCTGCTTGTTGGCTGTCTCCATACGTTCTGCAAAATTTTTCAACAAAAGGAACACTAAATAATTAAAAACTTTCAAGTATTAAGTCACATCTGCTCAGGACATTTCTAACGCAAGCTAGGGGAATGGATCTCCTAATTCTACACAGCCAGAAGTAAAAAGCCTATCAGAAGCTGGCACTCACTTTTGCAATGTTTCTAATTATGTCCTTGAGAAAATATTCTCAATGAGACAAAACAGGTTAAATAAAGTTCCAATGAAATTACTTTAAACAATTATAACACATAGGAAGTTTTTTTTTCAATTTTTACAAATGTTAAAAGACACCTTATTTTTTCCACCGAAATAAATCGCACCGTGCAATTAAATGATTCCCTTATAATTCTCTACTAAATCTTAATAGCTAGAAGATTAAGTCACTGTTGTCCAATTACCTGACTTTAGGGAAAAGTGTAAAACCCCAAAGACAGCTTAACAATTCTGCTGCTGGCTGTTAGAAATTTCTATCAGTCTATGAAAATAAGAATGAAATGTTTATGCTGTGTTTTATTATCAATGAGATTATTTAATGCAGGCCTCTGTGTACTGTCCTTCTCGATAGCACTGGGCACTGTATGGCCTTACTTCTTGGATGCAAAACAATTTCTGGGAACACAGTCTTAGTAAGAGACTAGAGGCAGTGAGAGCAGATGACATGTAAGATAATCAGAAGGCTTTCATGAAAAAATTGAACTTGCAGTTTAAAAGACTGATTGTGCACCTTTAAACATCTCAGACTGCAGATGTTTTTTGCCTTTCAAACTTACACAATGCTTAAACTTTTACCCACGTTAAGGTCAAATACCATTCACCATCGCTCTCCACTGCCAGCCGTCATACTGCCTCAGCCTCTTAGCAAGAACCAGACACTAATAACATCTCGCTCTGGAAAAGGAAGGGAGATCCAAAAAAACAGATGCCTACATTGATAAGGAATGACAAGACCTTCAGGAAGAACAGACAGTCTGCAGTTTGTATGTCAGTGCAAAAGGGTCACTGGACAGGAAATAAAGTGAACACGCCTGGTGTGGGATTAGGCAGTCAGCAAAACGTCTTTCCAATTGTATAAACTGAACAAATTGTACAAATTGTGTCTAGGATATAAGACAAGAGAGAACTCCAGGCTTGCATCTGGTTTATGGTATTTGGCTTATCACGTTTCTTCTCAATGAGAAACAGGCTGGAAATGAGAGACTACAGCACTCTCCTAAACCTGTCTTTTCCATACTCTCAGCAAGTGCTTAAAATCTCAGACTACTGAATATACCTGAGTATCCTGTCATATTCTAGTTGTGTCGACAGACACAGTGAATTCTGCAGCAGAACACTGTCCTGCCAAGTAAGTACAACAATTAAAAAAAAAAAATAAAAATTGAAGAACAGAAGTTTTACTTCATTCACCTCTTAGATCCCTGTTGAAATCATGAAGCCTACGAATTTCTCCTTCCAGTTTGTTTCTCATGGCCTTTTCCAGGGCATCCCGCTTAGAGGATGATTTCTCCAGGTTTTTGTACGCCTCTGAAACTTGCTGAATTTCTGTTTCCAGCTGCAGTGGAGGTGAAAACAAGCACTTACTATTTTATCACTAACAATTCTTTTCATTCAGTCTCAGAAAAGAGATTACTTTCTCTCAAGTTTTCTTTATTGAAAGAAACCTACACCTACACATTAAGTAAAATGACAGTTTCAGGTTCGTGATGGATCCTTCTGTATAAAGAATACCAATGGCTGAAACAAAGATCTGGACTCTCCTTCCAGACTCCAGCTCTGTTTCCCCAATATTATCAGAGTATAGGTACGGCAAATTGAAGAAGTGTAAATGTAATCTATTTTTTTCTAAGACTGGGGCAGTTTGGCACTACTGTTAGTTTGGGCAAAAAGCATTTATATAAACAGCTAATGCATTATGAAGTTGAGTAAATAACATGAAACAAGGCAGACAAAACTATGCTAAAAAAATGCTAGCGACAGATTCTGCATTACTGATGAATTCTGCAGTTTTGTAATTGTTATGGTCCAAAATTCACAGTAAAACCTCCTGATGTTCTATGTTTACACTTCTACAACTTAGTTGTGCTTTTAAATATTCAATTTACTAAACAGGGGAGGGAAACGTTTGCAGTAAAATAGGTTTTATCCTTCATTCTAGCCTTCAGTATAAAGCTTCTGTGATCACCCAGAGAAGGAGATTCACTTCTAACTCTCCTTACTAGGCATGGTTTGCATTGCTATGGAAGTATGGATCCACATAATAGCAAACCTCATAAGCACTGCCTACAGCAAGTGATCAACAGGGGGCTGGAGGGAAGTGCACTTTTATCCTTCATTATCAGGAAGCTGTCAAACTTTCTCTAAAGCATTTCCTGGCCAGGAACCTTCCAAAAAAAATACAACAAAATGAACATACGTCCCTGAAAAGAGGTAACATAGGGAATAATGAGTGTGGAAAGCCACACTGGTGACCTGAACCAAAGAAAGTGTTTTAAGCAGTCACACATTTTTATGGCCCCAGAGACTGCTTAGTGCAAAGAGCACAGCAAGGCCCACAAAGTCCTAAATTGCAAGTAGCATCAGTCTTTCCACAGCTGCAAGGCAAAAGCAAAGCTGACCTGCTGCACAGCTTAAAACCACTGGTCATCCAGAAGTTATTTCTATGAGGCTGCAATGAAAATACCTCTACACATGCATGTTAATGATGGGTCTCCCTGGGATATTTTTTTTAAAACATTTTAGTATCACGTACTCTACTTGTTTCATAAAGCCAAAAGTGGCAAACAGCTCAATCCAAACCAAGGTATTAAGTTTTCAGGGAAGTTGTGTGGTATTCAGAGAGTGACAAAGAAGCATTACAGTCCTCCAGTCCAAATGTCTTTAATGTAGCCATAGCAGCAGTACTTGCCTTGCACACTGTCCTGCCAACCAGTTTTGTAGCAATGTCCCCTGTTGCCTCCTTGAATGACTATGGTCTCATGTCATTCCAAACAGGCCCTTCCTGCAGTTTCTAAAGTCTTTTAGACTGATGGGAAAATGAAGCCTGCTGCTATCCTGGACACAAGAACACTAGTTTTAATTTAACCAAAAGAGCCAAGCAGTCAGCCTCTTCAAGACAGCTGATGAGGATGCTCTTTTGAGCATGGTCAATAAACTGTTAGAATAAAACTGAAGGCTTTGATTCTATCTTCTGACAAAGTTAAGCTGCTGCCCAAAGGGACAAGATACAGACTAATCAGTCTGCATATAAAAGACTCTAAAGTAGATAATCAATCCCTTAAGCAAGGAATGTAACAGTTGCAGATTAGATGATTCAATTATGGATGGTACTAGACACAGGAGAGTGCCTGATATCCCAAAACACCCACCTTCTGCAGCCGGGCTACTTTCTCGTAACACCCATCCAGCTCCTGTCGTAGAGACCGGTTCTCTTCTGACAGGATTTCCACCATCTGCTGAGCCCTGGAAACTATGGCAAAAGGATCTACTTGCATCTGCTGATACGGGGAAGGTATCTGCTGAGCCCGGGACATTACTGAATAGGAATCGCCTTGCTGCTGCTGCGGGCCTAGGAAGGGCTGGCATAGTCGGTACAAATCTCCCTGATGGACTTGGTTTGACAGGAATGGCTGCTGGGTCCGTGGCAGAATGCCAGGATCTCCCTGGCTTGGAGTCAGAGGTTGCTGATGCTGGGAAGGGGACAGTCTGGATGGTGGTGGAGACTGAAGCAAAGTCAAAGATCCCAGGGATGTCAAGGAAGAAGTTGGGCTGTGGTGGTGAGGTGGTCTCTGTTGTAACTGCAGCTGCACATCGGGGTTCTGCCTGGAAAATCAAGAGCAGAAGCTCCATCAAAGTCATGCAGAAGATGGTGCACAACCCCACTGACAAGGCCTGTGATTCCCACACAAAAGACTCGTATGTGAGGTTTTCCTCATTTTTCTAAGTTTGTTTTAAAAAAATGCTTCAAAATCAAATCATTATCAGAAAATATAGTCTAAGTGCACAAAGGTCTTTCCTTGAGTCTGTTTTGTACGGAAACACTAAGAGAAACTCCATCAAAAACTACTGACCAAAATTATTTTTGTAACTTTTCTCCACACTTTGTGGATAAAACAGCTAAACTAAGGACTGTTAGGAATGGGGTCTTTTGCTGTGTCCTGAAATGTGCCATCTCTCATGGAGAAAACAATGAATTTTGTTCTGCAATTCAGGACACAGAGTTAAAGGGATTGGCTAAGCTCTGTGCTAGTATGCCAGCACCACCGATTCGAGCTTTCTGAAATACCAACCAACACGCTGCAGCCTGGTCAAATGACACAGTTAAAGGATCTGAAAACCAATGTAAGAGTCAGAAGCAGCCTTTTGATTAAGAACCACCCTCAGTCCTATGCAGTAGGTATGTTTACTGCTCCTAACAACAACCTCTATAGGGTATCAGACAGATCTAGCAATCTATAACATGCTTGAGTCTATCACAGAACTAACTCCAAGCTACACCAGCTCACATTTCCCAGGCGCTGGAGATCCCCAGCAAAACTTCAGCTGGATTAGCCAAGTAAGAAATCTCTCTTAGAAGATTGTGTGGATTTATCGTGCTTGGATGACCTCAGGAGGCAGGTTTTGCTTCCTCCTCCAAAGACATTCAACCTTTAACTTCTCTGGATGTTCTTTATTCTAACAGTTGAAGTCACTCCCTCTCCATGCTGCAGCCAGTCTCTTCTTAAGCACAGACCTCAGCCTGATGCAGACCCAGTCTGGCAGTTCAACGTGTTCTGAAACACTCCTGTTCTTCTGGTAAAATTTCTCACCCTTTGGGATGCAGTTCAACCCTGCAGCTGGAAAAGCACATAATGTTGTTCCACCTGGCCATAGCTGCTACAGAATCCCCCCACGACTGCCTGCATTCACAGGAAGGACCCTACATGCTTGCTCTGCTGAGTGCAGTAGGGGTACTCGATGTACAAGACAGCCTGCAGCATAGCTCTCCCACCACACCAGGAGCATTAGTGGCATGTCAGTTGACAACAGCAAGCATGAAGCTGAACTGGGAACTAAGGGGTTACACAACGGGCTTCTCAGCCGATGTGCAAACACTCAGCATCATCCTTCCTGTTCTCTGCAGAAAGAACGCATCAACTCTTCATACCCGTCCAAAGAGGAAACGTCTGCATTACTCACATCTGGCTGGCAGTGCATGTAGGAGTTCGTACATCTCAGCCCAGCACAGGGTTTGCTATTTCAGTATCACGCATCTTATGTCTTATCTTCCCTGCTTTCCAGCAAAGAAGGTGCATAGAAACCTCCAAGCTGATGCTGAAATTCCTTAATGGGGAAACAAATCTAGCCTTTGTCACTTAGGAAAAAACAAGTAATTACTGCTCTAGTTACTGTTTCTCTCATTCTCACACTCAGGTGACCCTGCCAGCAACACCATTTCAGGAGCTGTATTTCCCCAGAAATGATCACATGCAGCATGAGGATCTCAGGGTCATGCAGAAGGGAGATGTGCAATTAATTTCCTCAGGAATGTTCAGTTTAGTAGCAGCAATTTCATTCTTCCCCTCCTGGGGTCAGCTCTACTTATCGTTGCATTTATTTCATTACCTTTATTTGCGAGTTCTCATAATGAAGAATGAGGCAAAACCATCACATGTCATGCTCAGGGTCATCTGGTTTGTCTCAGGTGGTTTCCAGCTCCTTTCTTAGCTCACACAGTTATGTGCGGAGTTAAAACTTTGCATCTTTAGAAACCACCTGTCTCCTTGAGCTTATTCTTTACCTAACATCATGCACCTCTGTTTTAATCAATTACGGAATAACCTTGCTGTGACATTTAATCTATGATGACCTACAGAGGTTAGATCAAAAGAGATACGTTGCTAGTCTGCCTCATGGATGCAAAAAAACCACCTTTCCAATTTTGAACCTACAAAATACTCTCTTCCAGTCTGAAAACAACCTGAAGCAGTTACTCAGAGAGACTGACTCTGCTGATCTCAGTGTGTCAATATTGTAAGCCTAATGAGGACTATTTAGATGCCAATGTTAACAATTTGAGCTATTTGACTAAAAGCATCTCGTTATTCTGCCATCAGAGACGCATGGGCAAAATCTTGCTATTTCTGCAGGACATGAGCACTAATGAAAGGAACACAAAGATGGCCAAAGACAAAAACCAGCAGCAGCTAAATTCTGAAGGGACAGTCTTTGTACTGACATGCCTGGTAATGACATTTTTTTTAAACCTATTGTAAGGAACAACTCTAGGAAATCATGGCCGAGTATTTCTAAACAAGATACATTTCCAAGACTTCCAGCATCTTGGCCTCACATCCAAAGCCTCTCATAATCTTGAAATTATACCATTCTTGTGAGTTCAAGCTAAAACATGGGAGCTGGGAGCCTCTAGTTCTGTTGCATTACCAACAGCATTAGAGCTTCCAAAATGTCACAAATGCATTTATATTCCCAGCAATATGAGATAATGCAACTGGGCTAATACATCCTATCTTTAAAAAAAAAAAAATCCTAGTAACCTCACAGTGACAACTAGACCTTTTAAGATATTGTATGCAAACTTTTACACACACATTCAAAGAACTTTTTAGCATCCCGACTATTTTCAATTTTGTCTTATAAAATACTTATATATATTTTGTGGGTTCACAATACCTATCTCTGAGATCCCTCAGATTAACATGAGAATTGTGGAATTTATTTCTCTGGTAAACCAATTTTCGACTGAGAGATTCAGAAAGGTAAATGAACACAACGGGACTTCTCAAGATTTTGAAGCCAGACTGCAAAATTCTAAGGTACAAATCACTACTGGGGTCACCTAACAATTGCTAATAGAATCACAGTAGAAACTTCCCTCCGTGAGAGAATCAGTCCTCCGGTAACCCTGCAGTAGTAAGCAAAATTATATCCGAACTAACCACTTCATGCAAAAATGCAGAAAGACTCTCAAAATACACAGAAAACAAATTTACACAATTTCCTTCCATTTGCCTCAGTGTCATAACGACCTGAAAACCCCAAATGCAGAGCAGTAATTCCCACAAGTGTTTAAGCATAATTTTACAGGCCACTTCATTTTGGAGACCGTATCATGCAAGGATCTCTGCTTCCCTTACAGTCCCTGGCGCGTATCAGAGGAACACACCACGCAGGCCAAGTACAAACCTGGATTTATGGTTCTGCAACTACAAGGGTCACATTAGCTTTTAAGTCATGAAGACAGAGAAATGGAGTAAGGGCAGCTCTGCGAGCAAACCTAGCTGTCAGGAGTCCTGAGGCTGCCAGGATTGCAAACATCAAGTCACGCAGAAGAGCTGCGGGTAGAGCAACAAAGTGGGGAGGGCAGAAGAATGAAGAGATCAGGAAAGGTCTCTGGCTCGTTAAAATTTTTTCTGCTTTCCCAGCTTCTCCTGCCTGTTTCACATTCAAGAAGCTACAGTTCCCCTCTCTTGCACAGCCCTCCTGCACAAACTGGGAAACGTTGACTGCAGGAGGGAGCAGACTCCACTTGATTAGACAGCTGAAATCAAACCGATGCATTTTTGTTCTGCTTCCTAGTCATACCTGATTATCCCCCGCTTTGATGCTGCTCAGGGGAACGCAGCGCACAGAAGTGATTTACTAATTATGGGACAAATTCTGCAGACCTCCTTCTCAAAAAGCTTCTGTGAAGTCAATGGGATTAATCACCACAGCAGGAGCTCAGTCATTTGGGCTCCGAACAGAGGATGGCGCTTGAATCAGAGAGACGGCAAGCTTCCTCTGCACCCAAAACTGTATCAGCGCGAGCCCGTTCTCCCTCGTCTCTCGCTGTTCTGCCACAGGAGACCTTGCAGCTCCACAGAACGCTGAGCCCAAGGCACCCATCTTCTCCTCTAAGACCTGAAAGTTTGTTTTCATCACCAATGCTAAAGGGCAGTTGAGGTATTAGGGAGAGAATAGGATTGTGGAGCTTCACATGCAGCCAGCACTCTTCTGAACCTTCTTTAAAATTTCCAAATAACAGCATAGATGCTTCTGGCATGCCCAGTATTTACATTAAACCAACATCATTACGAACATATACGTGTTCCCAAACTTACACCGCCCAAGAGCAGGTGAGGCAAACTGTTTGCAGACTGGTTTAAACTTACCACACAGCCCATTCCTTTCCCAGACTGGGGAGGGTGAAGCATGAGAATGCTGTGAATTCCCCAATGTTTATCTTGCTCAACAAGTTTTATTTAACCGCATCGTTAGGTCACCCTCAAATTCCCCCGAACAATGAGGGGGAAAACCCGCAGAAAAGGGTGTGGCTTCACGAGCAGAAAGAAGGGGCTTTGTTTCCTTGACGCACTGTTCAAAAAATGCACACATTTACCAATCCAAATTAATCCTGATAAACACAGAGCTGCAGCGCAGGAAAACTGGAGTCTCTGAAAATACTTTATCACTCCAGCGAGGCTGCAAAGACTCTCGTTAGCACTGCCTGGTGTGAGGAAAATGCACTCACCAAAGTTGTATGCCTTTAAAATCCTCACACCATTACCCAGCTGCACCTTTAGTAACACAGAAGGTTTCTTGTCTAAATGACAGTTTCTCTTAAAGTGTGTGGGAGAGGGAGGGGGAATAGAGGACTTGCTCCCTTCCTTTGCTACGCTGCTCTGTAATTTATGGATTAGTCTTGCAATTGTTCTACTGCTACAGCATTTGCTTGCAAAGGAAACCTCTTCTCTGTGCAGCTATTTAGGTTAAAAAGTAACCTCATTAGATTCCCAATGCTTTGAAGACAAATTTCAGTTGCTTCCCCTACTGGAAACCTTGCCAGCTGAACCTTTCTCCTCCCCCCTCTCCCCCCCCCCATGTTCTTTCAAAGCAGCCAGGATCCATCCAATACAGACAAAAATCACCCTGTCTAGAGGAGCTGACTGTTGGCGTGTTTTCAAATACCTCTCCCTTAAACAGCAAGCAGGCTGTCTCAGATTCACTATATATGATATTGTGAGTATTTCTGATGCAGCATAACCATCAAGGATCTGTTTCCCTTTCCTGTGTGCACAGAGATTTGAGGGCTTTGAATTTTCAAAAACATTTGCAGCGAGCTTCTACAATCATTACCCCCCCTAAACCCTTTACTTCCCCTTTTCCTGGCCTCTTTATTATTTATTTAGCCAGATCAAAGGGCCTTTTCATCAGGCTTGTATGCTGCTGAAGTCATTTCAGATCACAAACAATGGTGGACAAACTCTGAAAATAGCTCCCCATAGGACCAGTAAGGTTCTGAGCAGATTCAAATTCCCCAAAGCTCAGACTCTGTTCCCAAATACAGACTGGTTTCTTCTTCATGCTCCCCTCACAACACAACACAGTATGTGCAAACATGAATGCACAGAGACCTCATCATTTACTTACGTAGCAACGCCCTCCTGTTGCTCTTTTGTAGTACCCTTTTAGCTTCAAAATGAGGCCAAAATCATTATACCAAATCTCACCTGGTCTTAGTCAGAGATGAGATGGTAAGGAAACAGATAAAGTAAAGCCATATTTTTAGCCCACCTGAATAAAACTTCACCTTCACCCACACGGACATCAGTGTTTGGCTCAAGCCAAATCTAGCTTCTTATCTAGAGGAAACCAGAACAGGCTGAGATTTCAAATGATGCAAGGAAAATCAGCAAAAGCTAAACAAGCAAGTCTGGGATGAGGCACAAAGCACACTCCATTTTCCACTCCTACACTTTGGTTCACTGAAAATAAAATTTTAAAAACTCTAAAGGAAGGTCAAGTGATTTTTGTTACTTGCACCATTATTGCTTTCATTCACTTTCTCCTTTCCTATGTGGCATTTAGATGCAGTTTAAATCTAAAAAAAAAATCTTTTGCCTGGGCAGATGTAATTAAAGAACAGCTTATGTCTTGCAATAAGTAACTGCAAGTCTCTACAATGAATCACACCATAACTTCGGCTTTTGTAGCAAACCTTTTGTAAGGCTCTGGCGCCTCAGCATTAAACTTGCCCATGCCATAAAATCAAGGTGGCTTGTTGGGGGTTTTTTTTGTTTGTTTGTTTGTGTTTTTAAAAAGAGTCAGGCCTCTCTAGGTAAGCTACTGAAACGGGTTACAGTCCTTCCAGACGCAGTCTGTAGCTGAACACAGTATGTCATCTCACATAATAAAGATGGGATCTTTGCTGAAAGAAAACCTGCCTCAGGAGCGAGGGCAAGGGACTGAGTTTTATATTGTCTTTCCTTATGTGGCTGTCATGGAGTTCGTTTTAAGATATTGCTTACCTGACTGACCCATACTCAGGGGGATGTTGATACCTCATCATAGGCCCATCAGATCTTCCCTGCTGGCTCATGCGATGATCACTATAGAAATGTCCCGACTCCTGAGGTTTGCAGTTCATGGAAGGGGTGGACACATTTTTGTAAGGATACTCTGGAGGAGGACCCCGCTGCTCCATTCCTTTCATGTTGGGCTGGGAAGGGGGCTGCACTGAGTTCTTGTAGAACTCATTGGAGCCAGAATTTTTATAAGGGTCGCTGGACTGCTGAGGAGAGAGCGGAGAGAGGGGGGAGAGCGGTGCACTTGTGACAGGCGCATGGGCCTTGACACCACTGGTGGCCAAGGACAGCTGCATCAGCCTCTCACTCAAGGAGCGGACGTGCCCTTGCTTGAGGTCCTTAAGTCCTTCATCCTGGTGGACCTTCCCTGGGCTCACCCGCTGAACCGTGGGCCGCCCTTCAGTCCTCATCTTTTGGTTGGTGACCCCTGTTACATAAAACGCTGCCCCGACACTAGCATGCGGCTGGCCCCTGAAATATTGCGACTGGACTTTGGCTTCCTCATAGGTTGGGAGATCCTCGCTGTTCTGAAGCCGCGGGGAGAGCTGCTTCTCCATGATGCTGTTGTCCACCTGTATCTCCTGGCCCTGGGGCTCCTGACGGGCAGCATGAGTCACAAGCTGGTGGTCCTGGGAGCTCAGCCCTTCGTTCTGAGATGCTGGACTCCCAGTGCTGTTGAAAGGGGGGGCATTTCCTGTGGCTTGCTGGTGCAAGGCAAGAAGGTTACGGTTGTCATTTGGGTTTCCGTATCTGAGCTGCTCCTGCAGCAGGCGTTGTAAAACTGTCGTAGCTGCTTGCTCTTCTGAATTCCTCATCTCAAACTGTGGTGCCTTTTGGGTGGAATGTAAAAGCTGCCCTTGACCTAAGGAAAGGAGACACGGTTATTAGCGCCTGAGTGGATCAAGCAAGAGACATTTAAGAGCAATGGCTTGAAATACAGAAAAAAAGCAGGTTAGATTACCAAAGGTTCCCATAACAATGGGGGTCATTAAGGCCCTTGACCTAAGAAGGACTTGCATGCCAGGGGGCAAAGCCTCGAAAGGTGATGAAAGGTGACTTGCAAGTTTATAGGAATATCAATCGACTGCAAGCTGTAGGGATGCATGCCGAATACCTCAGACAACAAGGCTGCTTTCAGGCAGAAAGGAGACCTATAATTCACAGGATGATGGTAAAAATGCCTAAGACCTGTTTGCTTTACACTTAGGGCTAGCAACAGTGAAATACACTTCCCATATTTGCAGGCAGACAAGGATTAAAGAGTGAAATCAGCAATTTGTCAGTTTTAAGGAGAAGAAAAAAAAAAAGAAAGAGAGGCCCGTTGAGATAGTATATGGTTCAAAGGAAGTAAAGAAATCTCTTAGCTTAGATCGTTTAAAGCAATTAATGAATACCTCGTTAGCCAGCAGGTTTTCAGAGTTATGAAATACCCAGAGTGAGATCAGCACCTAGTCTCCCTGCTGCAGAAAACACTATGTACTGGTGCAAGTGAGGACTCTGTAACTTCCTGCTATACAAAGGCAACCAAATCCTCACACATCTAAATATCATCAGCTGAATGCATGCAAATGCAAGAGGCGGAAAAAGAGTTGTCTGATCTAAGGAACAGAAAAAGACCTCTGAGTGGCAGGAAAAAACACTGTGTACCAATGAGAGACACACAAAGAGCCAATGTCAAGCACACCCTAAGTACAGATTAAGCCAGTGACCAACAGTGATTACACTTCGCTTAGTCTCCCAGTGGAGTCAGGAATTTGTCATGGAAACTCAAGCCCATTGGCCTTGCATGAGTTGCAATATCCAAAATTAATGATACCTTTGAGACATTTAACTAAAAGCAGAGCTACTTTTGAGCTAGAGCAGTTCAGAATAGAGAGTATGCTTTACTTGTTGGCTAAGATGTGGCTCTGCCCTGAAAGCAGAATGCCCATTGGTATTCTAGCACTTTGACACCTTTTTTCTGTATAACATTGTCCCTTAGCAAAAGGTAACTTGCTCCCAACAGCTTGTTCCATGGCAGAACCAGGGATGGGCTGCAGGAGTCAGGAGACCTGAGGGGTCTGCTTTGTTCTGCATCTCCATAACCACCCAGTTTCCTCCCTCAGGCCCACCTACAACAGGAGACTACCCCTGTAACACAAGGCCTCAGTGCATCAGGCAGACAGAACCCTTCTGCAAGCGTTAATGAAGAGAAACTTAAAATGCACCTCATTCCAGGCTGCCTCACCAAACTAGGAATTCAGGCCTTGTCAACTGGCCTGGAACATGATTCTTCTGAAATCCTATTTGAAGTGGCACATACCTATTTCCTTCACTTTGACTTCCTTGGTAAGGAGGAGCAGTTCTGCCACATGGGAGGGACACACACAGCCTTCCTCCCGCAAGTCCAAAATCTCCACTCAGAGATGGCTTCAGTCTCCTCTTCAGTAGGCCAGATCACTTGATACTCTCCTCGCTTCCAAAATAATTCTGAGGAAAGCATTGAAAACATCATTTTAATCAGCAGATGAGACCCTAGAAATAATAAACCTTGGCCCGTATTTCAGATTTTGCTTTTGTAGCTTCTTGTTTTCTCCCAGAGTCCAACAATTTTGATCCCTTTAGGATGAATGAACCCCCCTATCCCTAGCAATCTACTCCAGCTGCTGCTTTAATCATGAAAATTTCTGCTCCAAGATTAAATGTTGCCAAGTAATGCTCTGTCCCATCTGTGCCTCCAAGTGAAACAGTGATTAAAACCCGCTAATTCTTTAACTCCATTGTTTTATTTTTTGCTAAGAATGAAAGCTGCAGCACAGATGATGATACCCTGTGCTTATGGCTCCTTTTCCAGTGGTGCTCTATATTTCAAACTGTATCAGCAGAAATCCTTTGATGAAAGGTGATATGGTTAAATTCTTTATAACTTCAACAAATTATGCCTTAGAAATGACTGTGAGAATGATCAGTATATGAATATTAGCTTTATTTTACAGACTGGGAAAATGAGGGGAAGAAAAGGACACTGACAAAGTACATGCCAGAAATATATTGCAGAGCACAGCTCTAATTCCCAAAACATTCTTTAATTACGTTACTTTTCTCTTTCAGAACATAAAGTACTAAAGAAACTTTAACCATTGAGGGGAGAATCAGGAGAACATACAATAATGTGTATTAAGGTGTGCTATTCAAGAAGCAGTTAAATCTACTACTGAAGGTGTCCTAAAGAAAAAGGCAAATGATGCAAAAGAAGTGGAACATATTTGTGCACTCAATGTGCTTATACTTTAAGGGCAGGCAATTAAAACAGAACTAGTGAAATTAAAAATATTCATTCAGATGTATAATTTAACTTAATTTCCTGGAATGTTGCAAAAAATAAAGTGAACAGATGTAGTGAAGGAATGCAGACGTGGATACTTCTGTCTCTGTCTTATTATGGCACACATCCACACCCAACAAAAATTATCTCAGATCTGCAAGTTAAATACTTGAGGTGTCAACAGCAATTTCAAGGCACATGAACAATATCTAACTAGAGAACAAGGCTGTGTTGTGTGGTATGGTACTTCAAGATGGTGGTTGAAAAAAACCATCTAATGTCAAATTCTTAACTGGTGACTTAGCTCGAGAGGGATATATTGAAAACAGCTGCCAGCAAATATGCAGTAAAGAACCTTTAAACCAGGCATTAAGATAGCAGATAACTAGAGCAATTTCTAGCCTCTTTTCCCAGTGTTGCACAACAGAAGTTAAGGATTCCTTGTCCCACTCATACCAGTATCATCACTGACTCTTCTTTTTTTCTTTTTTAACAAAGTTGCCCTAAGCAACCCTTTTTATTAGAGCATAAAAAGGCTTTTATTATGCAATATGATGCTGCCTTTCCACCCAAAGATTTCTTTTGTCTCAACTGGAAAAATCTAAGGGTGGGGGTGGGGTTGTTTATTTTTTTAATACAAAGATACAACCCAGCTTGAGATTCTGCCTTCCTGCCTTAAAGATTTTCTCAGCAGACAAATTCAATCTGTGCATGTTTAAGTCCTTCAAACGTTCAAGGAAATAATTCTGTACGCAACCATTTCACACACAGAGTTTCACTTCACAGCAATACAGGCTTATTCTGCTGATCCGATGAAGCGAGGGCACAGTTCACACTGAAAGTATTTGCTGGAAGTGGATACTACTAATTTTAGTGTGGATGTAAACTAGAAATCAGCCTGGAAATCCAAAATGAAAGGTAGACTGAGATACAATATGAAGATATTCTGGCCAACAAATCCACTTTCTTTAAATACCAACTGTTAGCATTAGGCCTATTTTTTCCAGCTTTATCCCATTATTTTTAATTAACAAAGAAAATCTTGTGCAACTAACTTGGGTGGCAGCATTCCTGGAATCTGCTTTCTAAGCGAGCTGGAAACTCATGGCAGAACCAGTGAGTTAACTTTTTTATGTAAGGAAACACAAAAATGAACAGTACAATTGGTACTGAAGCCCATGTGTTATTTATTTGGACACCAAATTCTACTTCTGTTAGGGTCTTCCAGCAATTTCAGTTTTCAGTGTTCCAAAGATGGAAATTAGTGAGGTGCACTGGAGAAGTTGTTATGATAGACCTGGAAGGAAATCGGAATAGGTTCTGTAGACATTTTAAACACACATGTTTGGGGGTTTAGCCTAAATCTATTATGATGGATGGGGCTGAATTCGGACTACCAACAACTCTGCAAAACTGTACTGGCTTATGGATTGGATGGCGCACTCTTCATAACCACAAAGCCTAGAAACACCTCGCTTTTCAAGTGGAAAAGTCAGTTTTAGACCAATTCTGTTCCAAGGAACCACTGTGAGGTAGATTTCCCAGACTGAACCAATTTTGCAGTTTGTTCCTGAGCATCGTAGCTCTACCATCTTACTACCTTATTCTAACTTCTAGTCTGAAATTATTCATGGTAACTTTATATCTGTAGGTTCTTGAGCGAAACATCAGAGTCTAGAACTGGTAGAACTAATACAGGAATTGCAAATAGTGTTGCATGTAACCATGCTGAGATCAAGAATGGGCATAAAAGGGGAGGTGGCATAGGTACTATTTAAGGAAGAAAAGACCCACGTTTGCAGGGCATTGTGTAAAAACTCAGTAGCCGAGGCTTCTGTCTTAAACATCATGTAATTATACACAGGAACCTTGCCAGTCCCTCATGAGGAAGAAAGATTAATGAAGAATTTAAAATGATAATACTGCCAGGCTGTAAGGAACCAAAGCAGCACATTTCTGTACAGCATGCAAATATTTTTCAGCATTATAAAAGTAAACAAGCTTAGACAAGTGAGCTACTCACCACTGTTTGATGAGTGGCTATAATGCTATAGCTCAATTAACCTGCATGGAGCAATAATAACCTCGCAAGCGAAGAGAAGCATCTTTCTTTAGCTTGTGAAACTTAGAGGAATGCAAGAGTCCCTGTGAGGACAGCCTGTACATACTTGCCCAGAATTACTGCTTAGCCAAGAAGCTAATTAGCTTATGCATCAGGTGGGATGGGAACAGGTTCACCACCTCAAAAGGGCTGGAGTACAGTTAAGCACTTTCAGTTTTACTACTAAATTTTGTGTCACTCATACACAAAACAATCCAGTGACGGACTTCAAACTCAAACAGTAAATTTTGGTTAGTAATTCTGTGTTTTTCTTAAAAGACATTCATGTGATACTGCTTATCCGGGTTGGCAACAGGTGATAGGATGCTATCAGTTTAGATGAAGTCTTTAGTTGTTTTTTTAGGTGCAGAGTTATCTTCAGACATACCTGCACACTGCAATAGAGGAGGGGAACACAAAACAGAGATACCACAGAGAGGACTGGCTGTGAGGTCCCCAGGCAATCGCAGAGACCAGCTCACATGCTGAGTCACCCACTGTTTAATAGAAATACGCCTTTGCTACATGGCCTACACAAAGCCCAGCAAGCTGGTTGCCTGATCCTGCAAAATTCGCTTAACGTAAGTGTCTATAAGACCACTGGAAACATAGCTATTCTGCACACACACTCACTTTGAAGTGGCTAAGAGCACCAGACTCAAATGGGCGAGGTCCAAAATTATTTAATGAATAGTGCAGGTTATCATTGAATGCTCTTCATTTCATTTCAGTCCTACCCAAGGAGGAGGAAGGGGGAGAATGCACACTAGGATAGTCCTTGAGAATAAAGGTTCCCAGCGCCTGGCGCCCACACCCAAACCTGCAAGGCGGCACACAACGAATCCCAGAGTTGTGATAGCTTTTTAGCACTTGCTCCTAACCAAGACTCCAACCATAAACACTTCCCCAGCTTTCATTCAACCATCCTGTCCCTGCTTGCCTAGATCTGCTGACTGTGGCTCAGGTGATCTTGGAGGGTGGCACTGAGCAGGTGCATGGAGCAGTGCCAACATTACTCATCTTCATACCAGAAGGACAGAGTCACTGGGCAAACAAGAAAAACTTCCTTCTTTTAACTAAAAACAAGAACAATGTCACCCGGAGGGGTGCAAATAATACACATACCCATTATATTAGATCATCAGGCAATTATAGCGAGAGGCCACCAGAACACCCGAAGATTGATCACAGTTCTAACAACTCTCTGGGCCAAACCAAGTCCACCTTTAGCAAGGACTAGACTGCCTTGCTGAGAACCACTAACCATTCTCCTCAAACGCTCATGGTATTGGGATTTGGGCGCAGAACAGCACAGAAAGCCTGGCAGGCCTGAAGAAAAAGCAGCAAGTCACTTGGCCTGACTAGAGATAAATAAGTCAAGACACCAACACAGGAAGACCCCCCTCTAAATAACATCTCTAAGGAAAAAACTGAAAGGACCTTACTTGACCTTTGAATTACTGCTCCCCCACTATAAAGTATCAATTTCTTCACAGGGAAGTACCTATAATCTTCACCAACATAATTTAGGGTTTATATTACAAAGGAAAAAAAAAAAGAGAAGAATAAACACTTACAGAGCCTGGTATAAATAGGAATGCTTCATGGCTTTTAAGCATTTTGATAAGAATGCTATGGAATTTCAAGTTCCTCCACAAAATTTCCAAAGTCAGAGGGGCAGGAGGATTTATTCTGAATATACTGGTCTAACAGCAAAACCAATCTAGATATATTCATCCTGCTACTTTTGTTGGGAATATCTCTACGTGAATACATCACACCATTCAGTAACTTAAAACTATTACACAGCACTACTCACACATCTGCAGAGACAACCCTTTAGTGGCATGTACTGCAATTTCTGCATATTTAATGAAACACTAATTCCAGCACAGGCGACGGGAGCTCTGCTACTAACTTCATAAAGGCCAAGATCTCACCTTATAGATGTCTTCCTGACAAAACCAGATCAAGCTCACACAGGTTTAGTCACATCAGGTCTCATTTCAGAGGACTGCCTCCCAGACCATATCGAGCAAGATTCATCTGCTTCAAACTTCACAG